TATTCTAATTACCTTCAGATTCACACATCTTACACTGGGATAACAACCAACTCTCAGTTTGCATTAATTACCTCCTTGAAAGCGATTTTAATTACTCTCAGATTCACAGTCTCCTTAAGGTGAAAACAAACTAGTTCCTCAAGGAAAGCATACTTCCTTCTAAGACAGACAATAGTTTATCCCTGGGCCCCCTTAGTCGATGTGTATAATGGAATGAACAACGTCCTCAACAGCACCTCTACAACAAGCGCAGGATGGGCTGTTTCTGACAGTGTTCCAATAAAGGCCAAGGGCATCACACTGTTAATTCCAAGATGCATGATAGTTATCAGTAACTTGCCATATAAATAGATATGGGCTCTGAGCACACTGTTCTCTGATTGTAGAGTCAGGGAGAGACCTTCTTGAAACGAGGCGATCAAAACAAGGGGTGCTTAGTTCAAACTACATGTGGATCACTTGGTGTTCAGCTCTCCCCAGGCTGAGGCCTCCTCAGCTACTCCAGCACTCGGGAATAAGGCTCTCCTTTGCATAATTTGGCATGTAGCATTAATCACATCATACTGTCCTGATGTCATGTGTGTTTATGATTTTAAACGTTCCCAGAGCAAAAACCACATCTCATAATTCTTTTTATTTCCATGCTGTAGATTGAATGTTCGTGTCCCACCCAAATTCCTGTGTTGAAATCCTAACTCCCAATGTGATGGTATTAGGAGGTGAGACATTTCGGAGGTGATTAGGTCATGAGGGTGGAGTCCTCATGGTGGGATTAGTGCCTTTATAAAAGAGACCCCAGAGAGGTCCCTTGCCCCTTCCACCATGTGAAGACACAGCAAGAAGACAGCCATCTATGAACCAGGAAAAGGGTCCTCACCAGAGACACTGAGTCTGCCAGTGCCTTGATCTCATACCTCCCAGCTTCCAGAACCGTGACAGATAAATGTCTGTTGTTTAAGACCTCCAGTCTGCGGCGGTTTGTTATAGCAGCCCAAACAGACTAAAACGCCACGAACCCGCTAAGCACTTGTGCACAGATGAAGTGCTTGTTAAGAAGGACGATGGCAACATCTGACCTGCTTCTGTTAAGCAAGAATTAAACGAAGGTGCGAGAGGGGCGCATGTTTTGCAGGGAACTCTCCCTGGCCCCGGTCTCTGGCCCGCATTGCTGCAATATTCCACCTTCCCACCAAATTAGACCCCCAGATGTTTGCACGTCCCCTCTTTGCTGTTTCATTTTCACGGTGGGAATTCAAGTTCCCCAATGACAGGGAAGGGGAGGAAAAGGTGGTTCCTGATCACCAGCCTATGTCATGCCAGTGATGTCCCAGTGTCGTCATGGGTAAGACTGAATTTCCTCTAACCCTTGACCTCCATCAGAGAACATCTTCCTTAAAGTGCTAGACTGAGGACCATCTGACCACATGACCATCCAATGTCTATTCTCTTGTTCATGAACTTAAGCCTGATAAATCTGAAATAATCATCTTTTTTTTCCCCTTTCACAAAGAAGATTCCCTGGAACAGTATAAAAACATAAGAACCATCAGCCCAGGTAACAGCTAAAATGGTTGAAGAGCTAGAAAGGCTTGGAGGAATTGGGGGTGGGAAAGATGGACTGGTACCGCCTCCTTGGGAGATGATGGACAGCTGTGGATATAGAACCGAGTAATGCTGTGGGATTATCAGAGGAAAGATCACAAGAGAATGCTAATCAGGAATGGAGAGTTAGATGGTGGGTAGAAAACCCAATAGATAAAATCGTTTGGGTGATGGCTGGATTAACCTACCGACAGGGGAAGCTGGAATGACGTACAAACACAAGGTATAGTATATGCCTTTCATTTTGAATACTTGGATAAAGAGATGAATCGAGAGAAGTCCCAGGTGAGGCTTTTATAGAGTAATATTTTTATGTAATTGGATTATTATTTTGCAATATTGAGAAAACTGCAAGAGCAAGCATATTCACTTCAATCCGATGTTACCAATCGGGTATTCAAACATGGCACTTGGTTGCAGTGAATAATTTTGTCATCCAATTATAAGAGGTATATGTGAGCTTTGTGTCAATGAGAATTTTTTCAAGTCTAGTGGGGTTCAAATAGAACTCCTCCTGTCTTAATCAGCTAGGGCTGCCATAACAAACTACCATAGACTGGGTGGTTTAAAGAACACACATTTATTTGTCACACTTGTGGATTCTGGGAAGTCCAAGATCGGGGGTGGGGGAGGTTAAGAATTGGTTGTTAGCGAGGGCCCTTTTCCTGGCTTGCAGATGGTTCCTTTTCATTGTGTCTTCGCATAGTAGAAATATCTTTCTCTCTCTCTCTTTCTCCCTCTCATCGCTTCTTATAGGGCACTAATCTCATCATGATGGCCCCACCTTCATCACCTAATTACCTCCCAAAGACCCCACCTCCAAATATCATCACACTGGAGGTTAGGGCTTCAAAATATAAATTTTAGTGGGGACACAATTCAGTCCATAGTGCCTCCTGTGCAAGGTGACCTCAGCAGGGCACCCGAAAGAACGTTCTCCCTAACATAGGGAAGCAGCCACAGCAGGACAACTAACAGAAGGCCATGCAAACCCTAGTTTATGCTGAACCATGGATCTCTCCACCATCTTGGTATTCCTTGAAAGGAAGCATCACTAGAGGTCTTCAATCAGAGCAATCTGAAGAAACTTCCTTCCTCCCTAAGGTCAGGCAGGGCCTGCTTAAAGAATCCCAGACTTGTCTACCATATTCCTAAGTCCCCTCCTTAGGGGAGAGGCAGCTGCTGACTATATTCTTTCATTGGTCACCCTCACCAAATCTTTCCCCGAGGCCAACATGATTTTCCAGATAAGAACCTGGGGAGGTGACAGTGGCCAAGCCACAGAGCCAAGATTTTATGTATGATGCTCTTTGTCATCAGATCAGTTCCAATCGATTCAAAATTTTCATTCCACACTGGCAAATTTCTGGTATTCAGGAATTTCAGGGTCAGAGATGATCATAATGATCAAAATCCTCCCCCGGTTTCCACATGGAACAACTAAGGAAGCATGACAATGTTTTCATTAGATCAGGAAATGATGTTCCACACTCCGTTCTGAAACTTCCAGGATGTCATCATAAATCCCATTTAACTTCCAAGCCAGGAGAAAAGCCTTTCTTCATCATTCTGGACAGCATTGCTTGTTAGAAATGCTCCCCGATTTTGAATGGAAATTTATCTTGTTACAAATCCACTCATTTTTCTGGTTCTACCCTCTGAGGCCACGTAGAAATGTGTCTCCTCTTTTCCACAACAGCCCATCAGACACCAGACGAGAACTTTCATTTCCCTGCAAGCCTTCTCCCCAAAAGATGAAGTCCTTCCAGAACCTCCAGATCCCCAGAGACCTGCCCCAGGGTCCCCACCAGCCTGACTCCTGTAGACCCTCTTCTGTCTGTCACCTTAAACAAAAGTCGACAGAACAAAACTTTTCTGTTTAGCAGAGAAATTGTAACACCGTAGCCCAGCTTTCCTGCTGGGCTGAAACACTTTCCAAAAATTCTGGAAATTTGTTACGGTCATGGCAGCCAAGCCCACAAAACCCAGATCCCAATCTTTCACTGAGTAGCTCAAGAACATGTTCAAATCATCCTCTGGCTGGATCTCATCCCTGGATCCCTGGGATGAATCATGAGTTTCCTTCGTTGTTGCTGTTGGCTGCCCTCCGGGTCAATGGTTGGAGGGACAGGCACTATTCCTAATGATGCCCTTTGCCCTGAGTGCAGGAGCCTGAGGGTTAAGGTAGCATGGAACATCCTCATCACAGGGCGCAGGTGACTTTTTTTGCTTGACACTAAGTGAGACAAGACCAGGGAGGTCCTAGGCATCTGCCTCAGGGTTTCCAGCAAAGGGTCATCGGCAAGGGCTTTTAACCTCCAGATTCCTTCTCTAGAGTTAAGTCAGGGACCCCACCCTCAGCACTTCAAGCCAGTTCTGCCTGGCCAACAGCCTTGCTCTGACCAATCCCCGCACCATGCCACACCCACACTTCCTCCGTGTGTGCCTTTTCTGTATTACCACAGCACTTGTGTCAACATATGTCCCCATCATAGTCCCTTGAGACAGGGCTCTATCTGTGTGTACCTGCCTTGTCCCCTAGACTGAGAGAAGCCCCTGGGTCTTAGCTGTGGCTCCAATCCTAGCACGGAACCTGGCACAAACGAGGCACTCATGTAAGACAAGTGAGGCTGAAATAAACTGATCCCGTGGCTTACTTTGTCAAGCCTTACATACCTCCATTGAGAAGGGTGGGCATTGAGAATCCCTCTCTCTGAGTGAGAGTCAGAAGAGACCACCACAGCCTCTGTCCCTTCACCATCTCCATCATGGCTATGAACTGAGCTGCTCAAAGCATGGGGTCCTCTATCTGATCTCTTCCTACGTCCACGCTCTGCTCTTTCCTGACTAGAGAATGTGCTCCAAACCTGCCTGTCCTGCAGACAGAAACTAGGGAGAAGAGCCCAAGTGAATTGGGGCCAACTCATCCCACCCCAGTAATTGCAAAAGGCCTTGATTAGCCTTAGCAGCAAAGTGTCTCATGACTATTTTCATCACACTTCAGGACAAAGGGCCCAGCCTGCTCTGTGCAAAACACAGTGTAGAGCTCCAGGGAGGCCCAGCGTAGTGCATGGTGTCACATAATGATGCAGGAAAAGTCAGACACCACCCAGAGAAACTAGGTCTCTGCTCCTGGACTCAGGGACTTCCCAAGCTCATGTAGCCCCTGCCAAGATTTATCTCATATCAAACAAGCGATGCTGCTAACAATGATGCAAGATCAGAAAGGCCAACCGGCTTTCTCGTTCACAGTTTCCATGGTGAGAAGGACAGTGTTTGGGCTCACGACTGTGGAAACGAAGAGTGGAGACTCTGGCTCTCCAGTTCCCATCTGCTCTCACTTCCTACATACCCCCTTCTGCATTCCTAAAGGCCAGGACAAGAAAGGGTGCTCTTACCTGCTAAAATGAAGATGCCCACGAGAATCAAGAAGACCAGCAGGTAGAGCCCAAGGACAGCATGCTTCAGGGCTGACAGGGAGCCCAGCTGGGTGCAGCAGCCCCCCACCCGGCGTTTCTGGCACGGACCTAAACAACAAAGGTAAGAAGAGGAGGGAAAAGACATTTGAAAACCTCATTAGCTTTTTCTTCCTTTCGATCTCATCTCTCCGTGATGCATACAGACGTTCCCATGGAGCCTCTCACACACCTTCTGAATATCTGTAATGCAGCTGGATCTATGCGGAACTTTTCAGAACCACAAGCTTTTCACCTTCTAGCTCTCCTCCCACCCTCTGTGTTCTTGAACAAGCCAGACAGGCATGTCCGCCACGACTGTGTCCACACAAACCCATCCTCCCAGGGCACACCCGAGCAGCAGAGAAAGCTCGAATGAGCTGAAATACGTGTCCTTTATAAAGCATCATTTTCCCACGTGATCTGGAGAATATGGAGAGAATTTATAACAGGAATTGCAAAGTCCAATTTCTACAGTGGCAGGAAGGATGGAAATGAGCCAAATGGGCCAGGTGGGGCTGGGGACCCCAACAGCACATGCCCAGTCTGGAAGAGGTTGTGGTATAGAAATGAGGGCCGAGTGTTGCCAGTTCCAAAAATTTCAAGACGAGACAGAAGAGATTTTGAGAAATCTCCCTGTTTTTAAGTGTTCACAACTAACTTATCAACAACGACAAATGACAAAAAGCCAAAACTACTAGGGAATATAAAGCAAACACATTTGCATGCTGGATCTAACCCACCTATTTGCAACCTTGGGTTTAGATGTACATGAAAACACAGTAACGTCATCCTATGAAACTACTCAAGGTTCACCAGCTTCTGGTCAAAATGAAACAGCAAAATATCAACGCTCTACCAGATCTTATGAATCGTTTAGTCCAACGCCTTAAGTAATACAGATAAAGGATGTCAAATGTTAGTGGCAAACTCTAGGTGAGACTCAGGTTCCCTGACTCCTGGTCACCTTTCAGTTGGACTTCTTTGAGGCAGCCTTCTCAGACAGCCGTCCAGAGGCCAGGAATACACTGATCTTCACCTGCTACGTGCCAACAGACAGTGAAAAGGAAGAAATGCTCTCCAACCTGGACCCCCAGCAGGACAGATAAGAATTGATAGAGGGTGTGTTTTTCAAAATATGCATGCCCTTATTATGCTTCTTCTCAAAGTTACCTGGAGATTGTTGCACATCGAGGACAGTGTGGGAGCAGAGAAAAGTTGACAACAAGATGTAATAATCGATATTAAGAAAATGTCTTTAAAGATGGGTGACGTTTACAATTTCTTGGTATCTCTGGGTTACTTATTAGCTCTCAGGTATCACTAGCACCTCTGCGGCCTTCAGGAGATTTGGTTACCATGAGGGAAATAGTGGTGACAGCGTTGTGGCCCTGGCTCCCCAGAGGTGTTTTTAAGTCAGGAGCATCCTCCCACTCATTGACCCCATTTTATTGAAAAAACTTCTGTTAAAACAGCTAAGTGGAACTCTTACATAATATTTCCATAACACATTGCGTACAACTTGGAGCAAATTGTCAACAAATACAAATTCAATTATCATTCTCATCAACCCTTAAATGATAGCAAATTTTGAAGAGTCAACCTGATTTTCCACTAAGACTTGCACAGAGTACATCTTTCTAAGTCACCTTAAATCTTCTTTGCCACTTTCCATTCCTTTCCACACACTAGGATCTGTGACCTCTTTTGCTCCTAAATATATAAGCTTCTTGTATCATTTCTTTCTTTCTTCTTTTTATTCTTGTGAGAGCTACTAGCTGTCTGGTTGCAACATAGTA